TATTTAATATGAAACAAGTCATAAAAAATATTAATAACAATGTTTTTTAATTTCCAGGTAGGTTCTCTCTGGCAGCATGTTTTTTGGGGAGAAGAGGATTTGAAGTGCACTTATTTGAATACAGAGAAGGTACGATCAAAAACATCCGTTTTTGATAATGATGAGTAAATCAATGTACTTATTTTTAGCATAAGTGTTTTATTTTGTTCGATGAGTTATTTCCCTTTTCATTATTATTCTTGGGAAATAAAAACATACTTGAAGATAAACCTTTCAAACACTTACTGCAGAACAACATTCTATAGGAATTATTAGAATATGAATTTGCAATATAAATTAAAAAGTAGTTAGTAGAAAACATTTAGTACAAATAATCAACATATGAATATACAGTATGAATTAAAAAGTAATTATTTACTATTTATAAAATCATACAGATAATTCACGATTCGCGTGTTTAGATAATATGAAACATTTAGTTTTGATGGATGAATCATTTGTAAATTAAAGTTACATAGTGCATTCAATCAATCAATAAATCAATTACTGATCATTATTGATATCAGTTTTTATATCAGTTTTTATTTGAAAAAAAAAAAAAAAAACGATGCAAATATGACTTCAAGTGAAACAAGCCTTTGGGGGCATTGCTGCAACGATAAACATAAAGAATATCAAATGGTTGTTGAATTTTTGGTGCAACCGTTTTTATAAGAAAAAATTGATGACTGGTAAATTTTAGCACACATATATATTTAATTTAATTTTATGGTCAATTTTTACACAGATGCTTTTTTAATATTTTTAACCAACCAATTATAATAAATTTAAATTTCTGGCAAATCATAAAAAAATCAAAATTCAAGGTAATTTCAATAGTATCTTATTTTCAATAGCTAATCGTGATACAAGCATCATTATTCAAAATTATTTGAAATTCTTTTACAAAATCTTAAAAAAAATGTATACGGGAAGTGATTTGCAAAAATATTAATTTATCTCACAGCACGAAATGTTAAAATCTACAAAATCATAAAACGTGACTACTTAATCATTAGTAGATGTATTAAAGAAATTATTTTACAACTCTAGATTATGTAACAAAAATACAAAAAAAAACGTCAATGTTGACATTGAAACTAATTAACGATTACAGTAGTAATCAAGTAATTTATTTGAATTATTTAAGAAAATGGGTATTTTTAGTCATTTGTCTAATATAATGTAATGCCACATATTTCTAGTTTTGTTCTTGAACCTAAAAATGACCGATTTATTTTAAAAAAAAGTAGGATATTTTAACAAATATTGCATTTATCTGCTCTTAAAAGGAGTTGAAAAATACTAGGACAATTTATATAGCTGAAATTTGATTTATGTAGGAGATATGTTTTGTGTAGAATAAAGATTTAAGCACAAATCGAAAGCCCAAATAGATTAATTTTCATTAAAATACAACTACACAAATCAAAAGCAAATGAATTTATATGTCAATTAACCAATAAAAAAGTTTTGTATAACCTTAACACTTCTTTCTTTTATAGTCACTATTTATCACCCCAGGAATTAGAATTTTCAATTAACAATAGTAAGAAATACAAAAGTCAAAATTTATTCTTGGATATTGACGTCAAAATTAAATAAACAAAAAATCAGAAAGGTTCAATGTCAAATTTCCATTTTTATTAAATATAACTAGACTAATCAAAATCAAATGAGTTTATCAAAAATCGGTCAATTTACCAACAAAAATTTTCTTGTATAGCCTTAACACTTCTTTCTTCTATTGGCACTATTTATTACCCCAGGATTAAGAATTTTTAATTAACAATACTAGGAAATACAAGAGTCCAAATTAATTTTTGGATATTGACGTCAAAATTAAATAAACAGAAAAAATGAAAGAGGTTCAATGTCAAGATTCGTTGTTGACCTGTAGTATCAACTTATTACCATGTGGTCTAATAATAATTATCTAAACGACGCAATTAAATATAATTATGATAATAAAATCTAAAAAAATAGCAAATATTCACGTAGGTTAAATAATAATAATCAATATGTTGCAGTAAAAAAAAAGTTTGGAAAAAATTGTAAGTAAACTTGCCAAAATCAAACTAAAGATAATAAAATATTGGGGGAAGGGAAATTTAATATTTTGTTTTGTATTGAAAATGTAAAAAATGACAAAAATTGCATTAAAAAAACACACATTAAATATATCATAAAATAAACCAACGTTATGGCAAAGCTATGTTACGTTGCATTTTTCATATAAAATGGTACTAAAAACTGTCAAAATGCTGAGTGGTGCTGTCCAGTCAGGCGCTTTTAATATCAAACCTAACCTAAAAATGCACAAACGATAAAAAAGGAATCTTATCAAAATTGCATCTTTCTGATGTGTCATGATAATATATACGAGAACAGCCTGATCGAACAGCAAAGCATTTTTGACAGCTTTTAGTACTATTTGATATAAAAAAAGCAGCTTAACATAGCCTTGCCATAATATTGGTCACATTTTTGGTAAAAATAATATTACTTTTACCACCATATTTATTTATTTTGCAAATGTTAAGGAATCTAGAATACGAATAAATAAACGTCTGATCAAACTGCAACCACATAGCGTTTTGTCAGCTTTTAGTACCATTTTATATGAAACACATCGTAGCATAGCTTTGTCATAATATTGGTCAGGCGCACATTTTTGTAAAAATAATATTACTTCTATCGCCATTTTTTTATTTTCCAAATATTATGGAATCTAGAGTATGGATAAATAAACGCCTGATCAAACCACATAGAATTTTAACAGCTTTTAGTACAATTTTATATGGAACACATCGTTACATAGCCTTGCCATAATATTGGTCATATTTTGGTAAAAATATTATTACTTCTATTGCCGTATTTATTTATTTTGCAAATGTTATGGAATCTATCATAACCACACAATATTTACTATGGATTTGTATTATCATATATATAACAAAAAGTTCATTTTACAAATATATCGCCAAACTTTCCTATAATAATGTGACCTGTGACCAGTACAATAATCTCTAAAATTCTCGTTGTTTACGATAAACAAAAAATCTTTTGCTATTTTGGCTAAACGGTTATTTTCCATTTGATTAATTTTTATTTTGTGAGAAAGATAAGAAGAAATTTGTGCTGTTGGATAATCAATTCTTATTCCATCAAACTAAAATATATTGGTAAACATAATAAACAAAAAAATAATAAACTCTTTTAGATATCACAAATTTTATGGGTATTTCTGTTCAATTAATTATAAATATACTCATTGTTTCTTAAAATATAAATTCTGTTTGAATGACCTATTTTATGGTAACATTTTTAACAAAAATCACACTGCACCTCATATAGAACTTTGTCAAAAAAAAATCATTAGAATTAGAACAACTATCAATCTATGGGACGATTCTGTCGTAAAATATACCAATTTTATGGCAAGGCTATGATGTTACTTTTTTTTTTATATAAAATGGTGCTAAAAGCTGTCAAAATGCTATATAGTTGCGGTGCAGTCAGGCGTTCAACTTATAAAAAACTGACTTAAAAAACGCACACACGTCAAAAAAATGTTATAATTGATGCATCTCTGTGATGTGTCATAATAACACGTGCGAGAAGATACAATTTATGTGTAAAACGCCTGAACGCACAGCAACCGCTTATCATTTTGACAGATTTTAGTACCATTTTATATAAAAAATGGAACCGTAACTCAGCGTTGCCATACCATTAGTCTATTTTATGTCATAATTGTCAATTAAATATTCTTCCTGTAAATTTGCCTGTTTTGTTTTTTTTTTCTATTATTTTTTATTCTTTACACCTTGTCAGTGTAAAGAATTTGGTGATCAATTATGGCCCAAAAATTATTAAAAACTGTTTTTAAAAATACTTTTGAATCTAACTTAGAAATTACGTATACTTCCAACTTGAATTCAGGTGTCATAAATTGAAAAACAGTGCTCAGAACCAAAATAACCAAAAACAAAAAAAATCGTTTTAAATTTGAAAATATGGCAGTTCATCTCGCAATCTTGAAGTCGACCGATTTTAGGCGATGGCCGGTTACACATCATTTGCCCCCTACTTTAAAATAGCATTAATAAAAAAATTCAAACTTTACTTGTTCTGAGGTCGATTGTGTCCCTATTGGTAAAACCCGTATTTTGTTTCAATTCACTGAAATAAAGTATTTTAATGCAAACCAAAAAAAACAATAAATTAAAAAAAGAATAAATATATTATAATAAATATTTTTTAAACAATTGTAAGATCAATTATTCTTTTTTCTTGCGGCAATCCTTTATCACCAAGCGAGTGAGCATCAAGAGTGCCAAAACATCAGCTGTCACCAACATATAGAAAACTCTTTCCCATCCTCCTTGGCTGACGACTCCTGCCAAAAGTGGCCCTACAGCCGCTCCAAAAGATCCTGTTCCATCAATTATCGCAGTTATTGTTGCTAATGCACTAGAATCACCCTTGGTTTTAGCTCCCAATTCAGCACTAACTGATGTGGTGATAAGGGCATATGGTCCGTTCACCAAAGCTCCGGCCAATAGCAGCATTCCAATGTTCATCGCTATATTAATCGAACCCCATTTTTGGTAAACAAGCATCGTAGGAACTGCTATAATCAACATGCCAGCACAAGTTAAAGCAGATCTTCCAGATAGATCAGAAATCAATCCAGCCAAAATAGCACCTGCTATTCCGCCTACATCGAATAAGGTTGACAAATCCGCGCTTTTCTTCGCGCCCAAAGTGGTCGAGTTGTGGATATAATTCGGCAACCAGTATAAAAATGTATAGCTGACCAGTTTGGAGAAGAACAAGGTCAGTGCGTATTCGACGACTCCAGAAATACGAAGGGCTCCTAAGAAACTAATTGCTTTATGTCCTTCGGCTTCTGCATGCTCTTCAGTACCAGCATCTATTTCTATATCAACGTTTTCTGGGTGATCCACCAAGAATATGAAAATCAAAATAGCTACGAGGCAAGTGATGGCGCCGGGAATTAAAAATGACAAAGACCAATCTCCTTCGATGTAATGAGCAGCTATCAGAGTGCCTAAAATATTTCCTATAGGCGTATGTGAATTCCATATTCCGAAAATAAGTCCTCGTTTAGCTTTTCCGCACCATCGGCCAACAAGAGTCACCACGCTGGGAAAACCGGTAGATTGAGCTATCCCTGCAAAAACTTGGACGACAATGAAGTACCATAGTTGATGCATATTGATGGTTCGAGCAAACCCAAATAAGTAGCAGAATATTCCCGTTAGAATCATTCCTATGGTAAGAAAATACCTTAACCGGACTCTTTCGGCAACGAAACCAGCAAAAAACATTGCAAAAGCGTACACAAATAGAAATGATGAATCAAGTATTCCAAAAAGTGCTTTACTATTTGGGGAATCAAAAGGAGCCCATTCGCACCAATGTGGATCACTTGCCATTTGGCCTGCTGATAAACTGCCATCAGGTGTAACTTCTGAACAATTCCTGTGCAGCACATTTTTCACAACCGATATTGGTTTTCGTGTAACATGAAACGCTGTGTAACTCAAGTATGTCAATAACAATATACTTGTCCTGTACGCAACTTCCTTGTTGACGGCTAATTTTGGACAGCATGTTGCATGCAACTTTTGTATAAAACGAATTCCGAATGTTGGACCTTTCGCCATCTTTTACGAACACTCGATAACATTAAATTTAATTTACTACTAAAATATCAAAAATAATTGTATACTCTGAATGTTTGATGCGTTTAATAAAAATTAGACTTTTTTAAAAATTGGCAGTTGTTTTTTTGTGATACTGATATATTTGTTTTGTATAACAAGTGCACTATGATTTGTATGTAAATGATAATAAATGCATTAAGATTTGATAAAATAGATAAGAATGATATTGAGCGGTATTTACACACTAATTACAAACAATTGTAATTGATATCGTTTATATAAAATTTTATAATTATTGTTTGAATGACTTTTAATAAATCATTGTGGGAATCGTAATCAGATCGGGTAATTCACAAGTCATAAAAAATAGAAAAACATTGACTAGGTATAAGTATTTTACCTTAAGGCAAGTTTCATAGACCTCCCGGTATGTGTAAATAATTTATATTACTTAGTCAACCATACTCTTCGAATTAGCTAAATCTTTAGAATGTGATTGATATGCAAAATCTCGAGTTATTCTGCCTAAACCTTCTTGGACTCTAGACGAGAGTCCAGATAACCGTTAAAAAATCTGCACATATATATATATATATATATATATATAAGTCGGGTTTTCCTTCCTGACGATTTAACTCCAGAACGCACGAACCGATTTTGACAATATTGCATTCGTTGGAAAGGTCTCGGGTTCCGCAAAGTTTATAGCTTTGGTAAATTAGTGGTTTATGGCATCGTGCCTCAATGCAAATTGCTGGAACTTTACGCACCGTAATTAAAAATTCGAGTAATAAAAAAAATCAATAATTGTTTTAAATAATTTCAAATAGATTATCTAAAAACTCGAGTAATGACATTAGTGAGAATTATCAGAATTATGCTTGCTTAAGTCAACGAGCAATTCTTGCCGCAAAGAATAATAATGTGCACGCACTGAATTTCACCATACAATCAAAAATTGCTGGCGATTTGGTGCCATGCCAATGATTCCGAATGGTCTTTCGTTTGACTTCAAAGGATTGAAATTTCCAGTTTGCCTTGATTTCGCAATAACAAGTCGCAAGGCCAATCGCTTAGTGTTTGCGGGATAAATTTCAAATAGATTATTTAGAAAATCATTGTTTTTCACATGGGCAGTTATACGTTACCTGTTCACGAGTTGGAAAACCATCCGCTTTGTTTGTGTTAACGTCAGACCAAAAAACAAAAAATGTGGTTTACCAAAGAGCACTTCAATGAAACGGATAATTTGCGGATTCACTTTAATTTACTCAGAGAACTTCAACTAAAAAACACTAGTAGTATTATAACACTAGTAGTATTATAAAATCAAGATACAATTATTTTATATTATTTAATTATTTTTAGATATCAGGACAGCAGAACATGTTATGGGAAAATCTATTAATTTGGCGATGTCGGTTCGTGCAAGAGCAGCCTTAAAATCTGTCGGTTTAGAAGACGTCATGATTAAAAACCATGGTATACCAATGAGAGCCAGGATGATTCATGGAACCGATGGATCTTTGAGAGAAATTCCTTATGATGCAAGAACTAAACAGGTGGAATGATAATAAATTAACTATTTTGCTAAATAAAACCATAAAAGCGCCTTTACGCTATGCTCCAGACATGAAAATATTTCCAACGCATATATCATCGCAAAACTTGGTGAAATAGAAGAATTTTGCAAGAATTGTTTTTTTTTCATCAAGTTGGTATATAATTTAAAAATTGCACAATGTATTAATGTTAATAACACGTTTATTATCACGATAATATCAGAAATTTTTTCACATGAGCTATGGTAGCTTTGTTAAATAATTTAGGTAAAAATGCATCAGGAAAATTTATAGCATCAAAAAATTTTTTCTGCCAGAATTCCTGAAAACCCACTACTTTTTATGCTGAACATATATGACTGACTAGACCTTTTATTAAAACTTGTTTCTCGATGAACCATGTCAGTCGTACATGTCTGACAATTTTTTTGAACAAGATTTTCATGTTCTGTTCTTGATATGCCAAACTTTTGGAACATACTGCAATTGTATCATTTAGAACTTCTTAGCGTCAGACACATACGACTGACATGGCGTACAACGTGTTAATAGTTGATCAACCAACCGTAGTAATTAGAACAATAGTGGTGTATGGCATCGTGCCTTAAAGCAAATTGCTGGAACTTTCCGTGCCAAAAATTAAATTTTAAAAATTTAATTTTATTTGTTTCAAATCTTGAAAAAAATTAGATTTTTGAAAAATTTTAATTTTTTTTGAAATTTTTTTTTTTTTATTTTGACATATTTTGGAAATTGTAAACTTTTTTCGATCATTACCTAATAATGACATTTTTATTACTTTTTTTCATCTTGTCAGTTGTTCATCTTGTCAATACAAACAATGTTTTTTGAATTATTAAAATCGGATGCTCCTTTATCTTAAAAACTGAGTTACCGTTTGTGTCATTTTTTGCCTTGTATCTTCGAAACGGCTAGACCAACCTTTGCCAAAAACTAATCAGCACGTGTCATTAATAGGTATCATTGTTTTAAGAGTAATTATAATCGGTCGAACCGTGTTCCCAAAATCGTCGACGAAAATTGTATTCGCACACATACACACACACACACACACACATACATCAATTTTTTATAAGATATGCCAAAATGTTCAGAAACCGAATTTTTGAAATTTGTAATTTTTTATATATCTTTACGTTTCTGGTAAAGATATATTAAAAATTTCATTTGCAGAAATTTTGTTACAAGAAATTATTTTGGAATAATTTCCTGAAAGTCAGTAAGAAAATACCGATCGATATTTTCAACTTAAATTTCGTAACAATTTTGATTATTCGGCATTAAATCAAAATATTAAAATGTTTCAAGAAGTTCTTATGCTGATGATATATGTATATATCAACTATCCTGTAGAATAGATTTTTTTTTAATATATTATTTTCAATATGTCAGTCAGACAGGGGTGTTTGGTATAAGATATTATGAATTAATATATATATATATATATATATATATATATATATACATATATACTAGTGATGTGCCGACTCGAAAAATTCCCGATTCGAATGATTCGAATCAGAAAAAAACCTGATTCGAATCATGATTCGAATCAACTCGAATCAAGTATATATATGGACAAAAAAAATCATGGATGTATTAATGTAGTAAAAGTGATCCAAATTTATAATCAAAATTGTCAGTTTAACCAATATAACCGACAAAGTAGAAATTGTAAACATAAATCACTATCAAAAAGTATATTCTGAAAATTATTAAAAATGATGTAATTTTGAGGACGGCTAAAACATATCTTCAAATTAATTAACAATAATAGATTACCAAACAATTGTGCATCACTAAAGCATATAAAATAATATTTGGAATCATGGGTCGATTGTTTATTTTACTATGTAATCAGTAAAGGATCGCATCTAAACTGAGAGCTGAAAGTTAATTTCATTAATGTGAATTTGCCATTACTTACATAATCAGAAGTTAACATATTATTTACTGACTTTCTGGTGTTATAAGTAGTAATTGTTTCAAAAGAGAATTATTTATATTGAAAGATTCCCGAAACTCGTTTCATAATTTCGAGTGGTTTATTCTGATAACATTTAAAATCTAAAACACTTGATTATTATCAAAATTGGGTATTGATATTTCACGAATAAAATCGCTCTCAGCGCTCCGTAAAATAAATAAACACGCAAGAACGACGACGCATTGTATCGCCCATACAGTTAACTCATATCGCTCGAACGGCTTGAAGTCGGGATGATTCGAATCAGAATTGAAGTCGGAACAACTCATATCGCCGTTTGATTCGGTTTGAGTCATGAAGTCGGAATAACTCATATCGCCGCTTGATTCGGTTTGAATCATATGAAGTCGGATGATATAGTTAGTCGATGAATGCGGTTAAAGTCACACAAAGACGATTGGAGTCGGCTGATACATTTAAGCATATTAAAGTCGGGTGGCTCGCATGATTTAATTCATTATTTATTTTTTATATTTATGATATTTATTTTTTATATTATTATAATATTGAATTAAATTAAAACATTTTTTTTATATTTATATTTATGAAAAATGTTATATTTATGAAAAATTTGTGTTAATACATATTTTATCACAGTAAATATTTCGCGGCTTGATGCGAGTTGATTCGAATCAAGTAAAATCTGATTCGAATCAAGTCGTTAAAGGCTTGATTCGAATGATTCGAATCACTTGATTCGACTTGGCACATCACTAATATATATATATATATATATATATATATATATTATTGACATCTATTTCATTTGACATTGAGAATATTTCTGCATTAACATCTTATTATTAATTTTTTTATTTTTTATTTATTTTTAGTGCATATACTCAGTGAGCAGACGATATCTTAATGAAATATTATTAACAGGTGAATATTTTATACCTTCATCAAAATATTAAATATTAATTATGCATTACAGTTGAATCTACAAAATCTTCATTAATTATTTTTAGCAACCGAAAAATACAATAACGTCCATTTACACTTCAATCAGAAGTTGATTAATATAAACTTCAATGATGGTGAAATAACTCTACAAAAGTAAGTGATAGACAAAAAACTAATTAAGAAATGTGCAATTAGAACAAAATCAACTTGAGCAAAAAATACAACAAAATCAAAAATGGGATATGGTTTAACCAAGTTTAAATAAAAAATAGTTCCTAAGTTTAAAATCAAAATGTATAAGCACTTAACCTCCATCCAAAATATTTGGTACCATTAGATATATTCACATTTCTGAAATTACTAATATCTAATTTCAGAAATGCGAATATATCTAATGGTACAAAAAAATGTGGATAGCTCTAACCTATAGTGCAGAAATAGTACAATTTTCGTATATCTTAAAAATTTGCTAATAATGTACCATGTGATACCAGCTATTACTTCGGCCTGAATTTTCTTGTAGTACAAATTCAAAATTTTGTTCTTTCGTTTTTCAATATTAGTATTTCATCGTTCTCAAATTGTTTTTTATAATCACAACTAATGAATCGTATCAAAATCAGATATATCTAATAACTGTTAATATCTAAAAAATAATTTAGTTATATATAAGGTTCTGCATATTGCAGAATTTAACTATGTAACTCACCGAATAGAATTTATATGTGTAACTCTTATAAGACGTTTACCAATATATTCGACTGAATATATTTTAATATAAATTTTTTCAGTACCTTAGACAAATCCACGACAAATAGTAGATTTGATTTTGTGATCGGATCTGATGGTGCATATTCCATGGTCAGAAGACATATGATGAAACAGGCCATGTTCGACTATAGTCAAACTTACATTAAACATGGTTACATGGAACTTTGTATTCCTCCTGACAAAGAAGGAAAGGTAATTGTTAATAAATTTAAAATTCAAACCACAATATTGATAATAAATATATAATTGACTTACCTCATAATTTCTTCAGCACCACCTTGGACTTCCTTGGAATATCACCAAACTTTCACAATATCACGACACTTTTTTAATAGAATATTATTTGTAAAATTCAACAAAAAATTGTATTTATTAATATACTAATGTTTTATGTTTTATTCGATAAACAGAATTTCTAATTTACACTCCCGACTTTTGAATGAAAATTAAACTTTTAATAAAATAAGTAATAAATTCAAAAACATGTCACAAGATTTTTTTCTACACACTAATTAATGGTGCTCTTTCCCAAATGGAACTTATGACCTAAATATCCAGTCTCAAGTATAACCATTTTAGGAATATATGTTGGACTAACATGTTATATAACTAGTTGTAAGTGACATGGTGCCTTAAAGCAAATTACATCAACTTCCTACTACTTATACATAACTAACTTCTAACTACAATAAAAATGATATTCACCTCTTTGAACCAAATGCTCAACTGATTATTTTGAAAATAAAATTTTTGCTTTCACAAAAAGCTAAATCATGCAATTTCTAATTGTTTATATATAATTTATAATATCTGTGAATATATGATGTATATAGCACAAGCAAGAATTTAGTAAAGATCTAGTAAAAAAACAATAAACTAATACAAATCTAATGAGAACCCAGTACCAATATGATAAGAATCTAGTAAGAATATACTTAAAATCTAACCATAATTCAACAAGACATTTCTATCGGACATTGTGTCATTGTTTACTTAGAATTTTAGTAAGTTTTATCTAGTTTCTGCAATGCTAAGTAAAAAAGAGTGTCTCAAACAAAGTTTCTGAGTTATTTGACAAACACTAAAAAAATGTCTTAAATTTTCTATTTATTGCTAGAAAATAAAAAATCGAATTCGATGTTATATGCAAAATATTTTTATCTTACTTGATTCAAGGGTCTAGTGGAAATATAAATATAAAATTTTAAGGTCTGGGTAAGAGTCTTGTGAAAAACTAGTATTACTGCAATAATCTTGTTGAGATCTGGTTGGAATCTAGTAAGCATTAGATCAGAACCTGTTTAGAATATAAAAATTATCCTTTAACGAAAATCAAAATACTTTGAACTATGTTTTAAATGTATAAAAATACCAAAGCTATTTTTTTTTTATCATTTTAGTTTGCAATGCCCGAAAATTTTCTCCACATCTGGCCCCGAGGTCAATTCATGATGATAGCACTGCCAAATCAAGATAGATCCTGGACAGTAACTTTATTCATGCCTTTTGAAAAATTTTCAATGCTGAATAGTCCCGAAAAGTTACATACATTTTTCTCGGAATATTTCCCGGATTCCATACCTCTAATAGGAAAAGACAGGTTGACCAAAGACTTCTTCAAAGGAGGACCACAACCGTTGGTTTCTGTTAAAGTAAGGGGTAATCTGAAACACAAATAAAAAATTATGGTAAAAAAATTATGGTGTTGTATTGATATAAAACATTAAAATTGTAGTGTTCTCCTTACCATGTTAGAGACAAGGCTCTTTTGATTGGAGATTCTGCACATGCGATGGTGCCTTTTTATGGACAAGGAATGAATGCAGGTAAAAGTTCACAAAATTGTCTTTATTAGTCATTATTGCACCCGATTTTATGAAGGCCAAAAAATCACTAAAATATTAACACTCATTTTGTTTGTATCAGAACTGATTTTTGAAAAATTCAACGACTGTGCGCATATTTTACCAATTTTTCAAAATTTATAGGGACATGTAAAAATATCATTTAGTCGTCATAGCCAGAAAAAGATATGTGTCATGATCACAATCAATAGTTTTCTATTAAAAAGTAATACTTATTTTTAGTTTGGAAATGTTAAAAACAGTAAATATAATCTTTATTAGTTTTTATTTCATCATATCTTTTTTGCTCTATTTAAATTTTTTTAATAATTTTTTTTTCAAGAAACTTTTTTATTTAATATAACTTCAGATATAATTTCTAGCATGTATTAGTTATATTATTATTTCTTTTTTATTCAAGTTATATTTATTTTTTTAGGTTTTGAAGACTGCTCGTTATTAGATGATCTTATAGAAAAATTTGGAGATGAAAACATGGAAAATGTTTTTAAGGAATTTACGGAAAAACGAGTAGACGACGCTCATGCTATTTGTGATTTAGCAATGTATAACTATATTGAGGTAAATAATTACCAAAAAAAATAATTATAATAAAAATAAGTTTATAAATAAAATTCAATATTAGACTAGGGTGAAAAAATCGTCGAGGTAAATTATGTAATTTCACTTCTCAACTACATCACTGCAATAAAAAAAAATATTAGAATTTGTTAATTTGTTATTACAAATGTTTCAAGACACAATTTATTTTAGAGATATTTTTTATGACTTAATAATTTTTAATTTATTTTTAGATGAGAGATTTAGTCAACAAAAAATCATACAGACTTCGTAAAACATTCGATGATTTTCTATTTTGGATTGCACCTCAAGTTTGGGTACCTTTGTATAATTCTGTATCATTTACCAGAATGAGTTATAGAAAATGTATAGAAAATAGAGCTTGGCAGGATAAGGTAAAAAAAAATTTTAACCACTTCTAAAATTTTAGATATTTCATAATAGTCCTTATTATTTTTTAACACGATCATTTTAATAACTAATTTTTTAGATGAATTTCCAATATACTCTGTAAAAAATTATTCTACTTTTTGTTTTGGTTCTACCAAAATATACAAATCTGTAAAAAATCAATAAAGTCTTCAATTGTCGACAAATTGAAAATTGAAAACAATATTTCAAATTAAACACACAAATATTAAAACTATACAAAAAATACCTAGCTAAATTACCAAATAAATCACTTGTTATATCTCAAACTAACTGCCAACTATAAATCTATCTTTTTTACCATATGATTTTATTATATTAAATATTACTATAACTTATTTTTCTTTAATTTTTTTTCAGGTTCTTTCAAAAGCCATTTTCACATTAAGTATTGGAGGCGCACTTAGTATTTTTGGAGCAGCTTTTTACTTTGGAAAAAAATCATCATTTAATTTTCCCGTAGAAAAATATTTTGATAAAGCTGTAAAATCAGTTGGACTTGTATGGCCTTACTGATAAATTAGTATTTAATAAAATATAATATAATATATATATATATATATATATATATATATATAATACATATGAGATTACCTGATTCAATACTATAATTATCAAACGATTATATTTTCATATAAAATATTTATTAATATATTCTAGTAACATTCTATATAAAAATATAAAATAATATATATAGTACAAGTTCTTAATATATTTAACTTAATATTTTCATAACTAAAATAATATTAATAAATGCATTGAAGGCATCTTATACTATTAGTCTTAGAATTATTTCTTTGGAAATCTAACCAAGAAAAAAGATAGACTAGATTTTTATACATATACTTATGGTAATAAATGTTAATCGAAATGATTTAATCAAAAATAACAATTTTTAAAGAACTAGAGTGATGGAATAAATTATAAATAATATTGAAATTTTATACAAAATAAACAGAACAAATGCTGCTAAAATATAATAAATAAAACAATTATATAATGTAAAAATTTTGTTCAAAATCATACGATTGAACTTCAATTTAAGTAATTTTAGATTTAAATTTTCTAATAACGAAATAATTTGATTAATAATTTTTAACAACAAAATAATTTTGCATTATATTATAATATACCAATATATAGATATATTTAATTATTTAGTAGCATTTCAAATAAATGCTCTTAATTATTATCGATTTTAATGCCAAATAATATAAATCTAAAAATATAATATGATAATAATAAAGTACCTTTACTTACATATATGTGTTTAAATAATTATTTTTCATAAAACTAATAAAAAAAATTAAAATAACTTGAAAATTTTCTTATGGAAATTAAGACTACTTCATGTGCAAAAAAACCCCAGAAAAATTCAATGAGTAATAAAAAATTATATGAGTATGAAATTTACTAAACTGCATAAAATTAGCAATCTTTTTGGTTATAAATAATTAAAAATATATTAAAAATAAGTGTGTACTTTTAATATTTTATCTCAGAATTAGTCTTGCCAATAGCTATATTTTGTTCATGATTTTAGGAACGTTTGAGGCAATATTTGTAATAAAACTTATTTTTAAAAAATTAATTAAGAAACCGCAATTCTAGGACTATGATATTAATAACCATAATGAATAATACCATGGACTATAATAATTCAACCTATTAGTTTATAAGAATTATAGGTTTTACAAAATAGGTTCTATTTTGTTATATAAATCCCATTTTCAGTGCCTCAAAATTTTTCAATATTGAGCTCGACATACCAAAAAATAACAACCAACAAATTTAAAGTACTAAAATTACAACAATAAACTTAATAGTATCTTAAAACTAATTTTAAAAAAATATGAAAAAGTACTCACGATCTCAAAAGTACTCATAAACTACTCAATGACAAGCTTTATATTCTCATGATCTTCAATATATTTAGATTTATGTTGTTCAAATAATTCTGTGATGGCTTTTGTAAATTCAGAATGTAGTTTTTCAATGTCTTCATCAGATGGATCCAAATTTCTCTCGAATTCAAGGGGTTTTCCAACTGAAAAAAAAAAACATTGATTAAAATTGTAATCGCAAATTATTTATTATCGTAGGGTTAATAATTTTTCTATTATTTAATTTGTGGCGATACTAGTTCGCGTTTAGTTTTCACAAGGAGATAAAATGAGTCATAGAATAGGCATATTTAGTAAGAAATTATGTTCTAGAATTTTTTACAATTAAATAAAAATGCAGTATTTGCTAAATAAATTTATATTAATGAATTATTTGGTCCAAATTATATTTTTTTTTTTACTTATACTTACTGACAGTAGTAACAGGTTTTCTTCTCGGTACTATACCAACAGAATATTGAAGCATACCTCGGCCTAAAGGTACACAAAATGCAATTCCAGTAATTTTTTTCACAAATTCTTGGGCTTTTCGTAAAAGTGATCCTTCAGGATTAGAAACTTGGTCGTATAAATCGGTTTCTCCGAATGAAAACACTGGCACCAAGGGAGTACTGTTGAGAAATTAAATAAATTTAATTAAAAATTTAATTAAAAACCTAGTGGTGCATGGCATTCTGCCTTAAAAAAATTGCTGTAAATTCCCGTAACAAAAATTATATGAAAAAAAATAAAAAAAAATGAAAACTTTGAAAAAAATAGATTTTGAACTTTTTGAAATTTTTTAGAAAACTATTCAGAACCTCTTCCTGTTAATACGAATCAAACACCTTTTGAATTTCTCAAATAGGTTGATCGGTGTTCCCGAAATCGTCGAGAAAAATTTGTTTCCGCACACGAACACGCACACGCACACGCTCACACACATCTATTTTTTTCTAAGGTATGCCAACATCTTCAGAAATCTTTGAAGAGTAAAGATGATAATTTTACCATAAGAATATTTAAATTTTGTCTTCACTAATATAAAAGAATTGATTGATAATAATAATATTGTTATGGTAAATATTATAGGTCTGATAAATTTATCTGAAAATCTCTTGGCTTGTCGAGAAATGAAAATTTATTATAGGTCCATGCCAGTCATACATGTGTAAAATAAAAATTTGTGTTTTCCAGGAATTTTAGTAAAAAAAAGTTTCTTTGATTTTAAAAAATTAACCGAATTATCTAATAATTTACCATAGCCCATATGAATATTTTTCTGATATTATCTTGGCGATTAACTTTCCTGGAAAAAAATCTGAGAAACTTTTCTAAAAAAAATTTATGCATAGCACAACTATTTCTATATATTATAGTTGGTATATTCTATACTTGTGCAGACAACTGTTATATAAAATTCCAATATAAAATCAGTTAAAACGTAGAAAGTTTATCAATATTCAATTTATCCCAAGTGTAGAAAGAAAAATATCTAATTTATATGTAATATAAATTTAGTTAATACATTTTTATATATGATTTAACTAAATAAAATTCAAGAAATTGTTTTTAATTCAAATTATTTGTTGACACGTGATAATTCTAAAATAAGAATTCAAACATGTAAAATAATCACCCATAGTGCACTTTTACTCCATTCATTTTTTATCATTAAAAAAAACAACAAAAAAATTATCTTAAAGCCAAATGAAGCCCACGCTCGAATTACAAGTTAATCTACATCAATGCACTTGTGATTAATTTATAAATGTGTAGAATTCTTCATGCAAATTCAGACGATGAGAAAAAGGTTTCAAATTACTTCAGATAAAAAGCGAAACTAATTCATGCATATACCAAATCAAAAATTATCACATGCAGTAAGAATTATTAAGTAAATTATCTTAATAATTCTTACTGCATGTGATAATTTTTGATTTGGTATATGTATGAATTGTATAAATTTTTTTACAAACCCGTTTTTGAGGGCCAATTTCACAAATCCTTTTCGCTTTTTCAAAAACAATCTTGTAAGTACCAGGTTTGCAATATAAGGATTCTGCAGCGCCTCCTACCATGAGAACAGCAGCCTTTCCTTTTTCTTTAGAACCCAAAATATAATTGATACTTTCTGCACTGGCTGATACACCACCTAAAAATAAAAAAAAAAATCATAATTGATGAATTTAAATTTTCATTGAACCCAAAAATATGAGGAAAATTTCGAGTTTCATTACTAAATTATTAATATATTTTTTTTATTTTAACTATTATATCAGATCTAAAATAGTGACACAGTTGCTCCATGTTTTCTAGAATAAGACATAATGTATTTTTAAAATTTTCAAAATTAGTTGACTTTAAAAAGCTCTTTTTGCAAAAAATGCACTAAAGTATGTTGGAAAGTTCCATGAAAAGTTGTCAAAAATCTTACTATTATTACAATTACAACTAATCCATTATCTCACCCAAACTCAAAATAAGTTCCCTATAAAACGGCACCATGAAATGTCCGGCAAGAGTGCAAATTCTGGCTGTCATTCCAGGGAACATTTGCTGAAAACCAGTGGCGTCCGTCGCAAAATGACCAAAAGCACCAGATGACAACAAACCATGTGGGAACACACACAATAAATAGTTTTTCTTAGGATCCAACTCTGCAGTTTTGATCAAAGTTAATGGGAAATAATCGCGGTAGTATCGCCACCAGGTCCAGTTTCTCACCCACTTGATACTGGGAAATAAAATAGAAATAATTATTGTAAAATGGATGGATTTATTAATATATTGGTTTTAGAATGTTTGAGAAAAGATACAGGTGTGATGGTCATTACTGAAAATTAAATTAGATATAACCAAGAAAAAATGTTTTGTCACTTTTTAAGAAGAGTTGGTAACCAGATTGGAACATCACAAATCGGAGCAATTTATGAGGAAATAGCGAGTTTTTTTTACTAAACAATGTTGCCAAGCTGTATTAAACATACAATTTATATCTATACTTTAGAACCAGAAAAAAAAAACTGCTCTTATTTGAATTGTAAACAAGTTACATTGCAAAAAAGTAAGAAAAGAAATGGGAAACATGTGGTTGCACAGAAGACTTGCCTTCTAGTGGCACAAGTATATCTTTCATTACTATTACTATTATTATTATTACTTACGGTCTTCCTCCTTGATGGCAAATATCTCTATCAATTGCAACCCAAAAAACATATAGAACACCCAACCAGTACCAACTCGAACATAAGACAATATAAAGACATAGGGCTATTGATAAAAATTCTGCCCAGAGCATTGTGGTGATCCATCCTGCGGCTGCCAATGTCTGCAGACGCCTTTCCAGAGGCGTATCCAGGGGGGCAAATTTTAATAGTGACATTTTTAACTAGAATTACTTCTTTTATCTGAAAAGAAAAATACGTTTTTAATAATTTTTGTTAAAAAAACTTTGTCATCAACAGAACCAATGGTTTTTACTCAATTGAACAAGTTAATCTATTTACACCCAAATACATATTCATATTTAAGGAATATATGGAAAAAATCGAAACAATATTTGAACTAGTGGGCCCCATGACATCGTGCCTTAAGGCAAATTGCTGGAACTTCTCGTACCAAAAAATTTTTTTTAAAAAGATTAAA